CAAGTTTCACCAGAATGAGATTTGTAAAGCGGAACCAGGGAAGCGATTACAATACAAAATGCCCCCCCCGTCGACAAAAACAGCGCCTTTCCGGAAACTGGCACAAATAATCCAAGGCTAATCAGTGAACTAGCAAATCTCTCTTTCCGTGTTCTATACCAAAAACTCACTACCGCTACTTCTTGGTTCTAGCCTACTGACACATAATGGAGCAGTTTGTTACAGTTGTCCAATTTGTAACAGCTGTCCAGAACTACTAAACAACACGCACCTTCTTTGTTCCACCTTCACCGCGTACAAGTTGTGACAGACGAGCCATAAGAATAGCCATACGTTTAGCCGCAGCTACGATGTCGTTCTCTTGACTCGACCATTGCTTGAGCTCCTGAAGTAAGTCAGTAATCAGTTGGTTCAGCATGATAAGTTTGAGCTTGACAGGTATTCCTTTCCGTGGGCGGTTGTGAGCTGCCATCAGCTGTCAGGAAGTTGACGACAAAACACAAACAATTCTCAGGAAGAAGGAAACACAACAATAGAGCGTGTGAAAACAAAGCAACGTACGTCGTGCAGTGAGTGGGCCGCGGAAAGAATCGGTTGATGACTGGCCTGAGGTAGAGGATATCTGGAAATGGGTCGATTGTCTTGATTGAATTGGAGGAAATTTCGAAAAGGTAGCTAACCTTTCCCAGAAAGCTCTCGTCTCTTCTTCTTCGTCGTACTCGGGCGGTGGCGGTGGTCGTGGTGGAGGGCTGATCTCGACCGGTGGTGGGGGCCTTGGTGGTGGCCGGAATCTCTTCACGGATGATCATCTTGTTGTGGATTATAGGTGGTGTAGGTGGCTGAGGTGGTACACTACGTATTACTTGAGTGCTTTGCTAAAAAGTGTTGTTTTTCTGGCAGATAGGCAACTATGCAATCAGACTGGAATTAGAACTTACCACAGGATACGGTGATGCACGGCTCAGACTGTCTTGGTACGCCATAGCTGAATGCCGTCCATTCTGCACACCAGCTATAGCATCGCCCACGGCTCGTACTGAATCCAACAGACGATCGTTGGCGTTACGCCACGCGTTTGCTGCCCCGGTATCGCGTGGACTGATCGCTACCTGCTTGGCCTGGGTGACCATCGGTGGAATGGCTGAAATAGTGGATTGAGTAAGAAAGAAGTGGAACCTATTCAAATCAGATGTGAGTACGTTGAAGGTGTGCGATACTGCCAGGGAGATCGTGGACCACAGCATGTCCTGCCACTGGAGGAAATTTTACAAAATAGGACTCCCCAAATGAAGATTTCTTCCACTGGTACGACCCCTCCACTTCCCATTCCCCAGTCCACCTAGCAT